AATTTCGCAAAAAAACGAACCTATTTGCAAGCGGCAGCTAGTAGGATGAATCTCTCTGATTTGGTAGTGTGTATATGAAATCCACGACGAAAGGGCATCAAACACATTAGAAAGAAATATCTGTCTTCAGCTATCGATCAATAATTAATATGATAATTATTATCCGCTTCATTCATATACAGTTACAGATATTCTAGCTCGTTAGAGGTTGAAATTGTCTGTTTTTCAATGTTGAGCTTGATATTGAATCTTCTTTTCTAATTGCGGGGGTGAGGGCTACTTCGGTGTCCCGATCAGTTTTTTTGTAGAATCCTACCGATTTCTGAAGGTCCCTTCTTCAGAAAAAAAAATCAACAAAAACGAAAAAGGGCATCAAATGAATGGCAGTGCTGCCAGAAAAGATTGAAAAATTGGTTCTCATGGTGGTTGAAGGGTGTTTGAGTGTGTTGAAGAGTGTTGAAGAGTGTTTTTGATGTGTTTAACACAAGGTGGCAAAGTGGCTTACCCCCTGAATAGAACACACCATTTTCCACTCGGTATCTGCAAACTTCTAATGTACTAGACAGATGCGCCAGAGATGCTTAAAACATTAACGCCTAATATATGAAAAAAAATCAAAAATGTCATATTTTATACGTTAATAGATGACATCTTCAAAGACATCTATTTGATCTCGAAATTCTGGATCGTATGCAAAACATGAGCAAATTACAGTTTTGTCCTATATTTCACATTTTTGTCTTGTTTTATGGCTGACCATAAATAGTTATTTTGGCGTTCTTGTACCAAAAAACATAGATTTAGGTCCGTTGTGCACTTACCTTCTGAAAACTTTTAAAATAATAGGTTTGGATATTAATTCCATTGCTTTAGAAAATGCATCAGAAAAATAAAAAACAATTTTCTTTAATTTGTTTTTCGCAAATTTTACATTGCGTTGAACTTTAGATAGTCTATATTATGTAAAAATGCTGTGGGACACGATGGGGCATCAAACCAAATATTTAGATGCATCAACTTAAAAAAATCACGTTTAAAGTTTTTAGTTGCTAAATAATATTTAAATTTGGCAACACTGTTCTTGGTAATGTAAACGATTTTTTTTTTCTTTAAATACTATTTCACACAATAAGTCATGAGAATGAATCTACTTATTAAGAGGAAATGAAAAAAAATTAAAAAAAAAGTTTTACCCTCATAATTTATGACTTTCGTTCATTCAAAATGCAATATCTCAGGAACTACGCAAATTACTTTTTTTCTTTAAGTGTTTCTTATGTAAAAAAGAATGAAGAACACGATGGTGTCCTTAAAATGAAAATTAAACGACATGTATTATGAGAAAACTGCATTTAAAGTTTTCAAACAAAAATAAAAAATATTTGGCAACACTGTACAGAAACAAAAGTTACATATTTAGATTTCTTGTCTAATTTCCTTATTGAAACAATACCTAATGCAATTTGTAGCTTTATTTGTTCCGGAGATATGAACAAAAGAAAGTAGTGCTTTCCAAAGAATCACGAAAAATGAGAAATGCGCCCCTTGACCGAGGGGTGCTCCGATTAGCATAAAACTTTGGATTTTTAAAATTTGAACTTAAATGAACATTCCCTACAAATTTGGTCCAAATAGGAAAAGGTCAATTTCATGTGCTGTGTACACTTGGCGCGGAATGACCCATATTCATGAAGTTTCTGATGATGAGACTTTGGCCTTAGGGATTGATAATGATTGGACAATCAGTAACGGGTCGTCAATCGAACAGTCCATCTGGTCGCCCGAAATCCGTTCGACAGGATGAAGCAACTGGAGAGGGAAAATCAAACACAGCATGCAGTGGAGTGGAGAGTGCTGATGAAACCAGTGTTATCAAAATTGCATTGAAAAAGGAAAAGGTGGACTATTGCCTTCGTGAGTTTATAAGAGAATTGGTCATATTTGATTATTTTATTGACTGACTTCTGTTTTATAGGTTGTCTCTATGATCGGCGCATCTTTTTTGCGAGATGACGTAAAAACAGAAATTTTCCATTCCAAAGCAGGCACGGTTCTGATGACAAGAGTAATCGCGAATGCTTCGTGGTCGTAATTTGTTTTGTTAATGCAATCAACATGCTTGTTTTAATTCCTTTTATTGTTTCTGATTACTTATATGATTTTTAACCTGTTGTGAATTCGATAACGATTGATTTTTGTTCAATCCTTTAGTTAAAGTTAGTGTGCATAATAACACAGGTATCCGCTTAGCGACAATCGATACTGTTTTATGTGGGATTATCTGTGTCGTTAGGCTTTGTAAAGAACTATGTCACGAATAAAAGGGTTTGTTTAATAACAATTTTATTCATTTCTATAAAAAAAAATCACAAAAATCAGTTTTTTTTGCGTGGACAAAAAACAAGTTGATAACTTAATTTGTTACCAGATAACGTAACATAACCAGTTATCAATGCTCTGTTACAATATCAAATTGATAACTAGTTTTAATATTAATCAGACAAAATGCATATCAGAATTTGTAATCAACATGTTTTCAATGATATCCAAATAAGTTATCAACATGATACCGTGCCGATTCAAATTTCGGACACTTAAACTCGAATTTCGGACACTTTTAAAAGTTGATTATCTCAGTTGAATATGATCCACATGTCTTGTAAATTTTAAATTTTTTTGACTAGTGCCCTCCACGATCATCTAACATTATAACTTTGTTTCTAACTGGATGTAATATTTATTTAAAAATGAAAGTGTCCGAAATTTGAATCGGAACGGTACGCATAGAAGAAATTGTTGTTATCATTTTTGCTATGTTGGCTGTTGATTCAGCCAAGTTGATAACAAATTTGGTGTTCAAAACAGATCATAACCAGATAACAAAATTTATTATCAATGTTAACAAAATTATTTATTATTATAATCGTTACTTTGCTCGGGTATCAACCCATCAACTCAAGGACCGAGGACTAACGACTTACCCAAGCAAAGGATTATACCAAATTGATAGCAAGTTCTGATACCCGGTTATCAAGATTTGATAACTGATAAATGCTATCATTGTGGTTGAAAAAACAGCTTACATAACAAAAATTATAACAGAAGAATAGGGTAGAGAACTACTTCGGCCTAATCGCCCATTTTTGGCCTATCAAGCCTAAAAGATGCGGAGAATTAGATAACAACAACAATAAAATAAAAGAATACCTTGCTTCTAAAAAAATCTGGGAGTAGTGTAGTCAGATTATAAGATCGCGCTTTAATTTAGTAGTAAACGTCATTGAAGTCATTCTACTATTTAAAATAAATGAGCGTTCGCAAAAAAGTTAAGCAGCGCTTCGGCTAACGATGAGGGTGGTCGCTTTCAATTTGAATGTGACTGAACCATCTTTGTTTGTCTTTAAAAAGGAACTATATCTCTCTTGGATATGGCCAATGGAACAATCGAGTTAGTTTTAGAAAACAGTTTGGAAATAGTTTGAATATTTGTTAAATTTTAGTTGTGCTACTAATGGAAAGCTAAAAGAACAATGAACAAAATGTTAGGTTACGATAGGTTAAATTAGGATAGGTTTCCCTTCCATGTGTATGGGTGTTTGTAAATATGGATGTATGGATGTATGGGTGATAAATAATGAGTGGATATGAATGAGTGTACATGAACGAATGTATATTAACCCCGAGTACACCGCGGGTAATCGGTTTCCCAAGTTAACGTAGGTTTTAAGTTAATTTAAGGAAAGTTAAATTGACAGACGCAAGGAAAAAAGATAAATGAAGAAGAAGAACAAAAAGTGAAAGCTTGAAAACCGTTGATTGTAATATTCAATCATATTCTTCAATAAAAAAAAAAAAAAAAAAAAAAAAAAAAAAAAAAAAAAAAAAAAAAAAAAAAAATTCATGATTTTAGATTAAACAAGTCAATTATGCGTTTGGTACGATACTTTAGCTAATAAGCTACGGAACAAAGTCAATAAGAATGCGTGATATGAAGGTTTGCACCCATTATTCCCAAAAACAACAGAAGCGCTCCAACCGAATCAATTTTTATCTTCATCAGATAGGCCGAAGTGAATTCATTGGCGTTTCAATGGCGTTTCAATGGCGTTTTTTTTAGAATCCGTAGGCCGAGTTTGGCGTCAAGGAGCAGTGTTAGACTTTTGACAATATCTCAACGATTGATTTCTCTATATCAAACCTTACGGTACATACGAAAAGGTAAATAAATTTGAAAGCCATCAGTAATAATAACATTCTGTTTGGTGCTAAACTGCGCTAGATTAAGAAAGCCAAAGTGCGGGTTGTGCTTAATAGGCCTGAAATAGGGTACTTAACTCTACTCCTTGGATATCACAAAAAAATTGATTTAGTTATCATTGAAAACATCTTGATAACAAATCCTGTGAGCCATGCAAATTTTGTCAACATATTTCAAATTATTTTATCGATTTGGTATTAAAGGCTTACGCTGATTACTGAAATATGACTGGCAGCGTTTATTTTTATACCATGCGAATAAAATTTGAAGTTATGAACTGACCTTACATCATTTCAATGCTTTCATGATAAAAAATGGTAACAAAACTAGTATAAGTTGATAACTAAATTAGTTATGCGATAGCAACTGAAAATTAAATGATATCTGGAATAACAAAATTTGTTTTCAATGTGATATCAGGTTGTTATTTTACTTTGCTCGGGTAGGTAGAATTTGTTCCAGATTAGGCTTTTTTTATGGCCTTAGTCCGAACCGGTTTCGATTTGCATCGCATCCCCGTATCGTCTTTGGGAATTCATGCAACAAGCACTGATTCAGGTAGATGCAACGTAGAACTTCTGATCCATTTCGTCAGTGCCAGAGGTTTCTCAGAACATGGCATCTCTCACTAAAGGATATTCCGTGCAGGTAGACTGGTTCAAGTGGTGTCGGTAGAGACACGGCAGTGAGTAAAATTTGTCTTATGCCCGTGGAAATCGATGTAGCTCACGTTCCGCTTTGCATAATGGACTTCATTAACCCCTGAATATAATGGGTAAAGGTTAAGCGAAGCCGTCATTTACTAAAACCTTTTTTCAACTAAATAATGATATTCGTCATAAGTAACCCGGTGATACATTTTCACCAAGAGACATGTAAAAAAAGCTCTTTCTCGAAACCAGAAACAAATATAATGTAAATTTATTATAACTAACAGGTCACACCAATGTACTAACTCTTAACACAAGTGATATAACGCAGTTCTCAATATTTCTCTTCAGGAGCAAACAGTTCGTTGAAGTCCTCCTTGTTTCGTCGAAGATTATTCATTTCCCGGTACAGCAGCAGCGTGATTGCACTGGTAAACACCAGCACAGCTGAAAGCATTCAAAATGTGTCTCATAGTATAACGTTTTCCCTTGTATCTGTCACCAGTTCTCTCACCTGTCGTAAACACAAATGCCATTATAACGAACCGTCGCTCGTCTTCATTGACCTCGAACAGCATCCTTTCAATGTGAGCATGTCCGATGAATCCCATGGTAGCCACCAAAAGACAAAAGAATGGCAATATGTACTGCGACTGCTCCTGTAGACGTACAATTTAGAGTTCATGGTAATAAAGATACATTCTCGAAAATGCAATTCTATCATACCTTGTAAATCCCCCAGAAGAATGCACATGAAGCTGCATAGTACACCAGCAGCATCACCGTCAGCAATGAAAGCTCCAGATTGTAAACTGCAACGATGTTTGTATCAATTAGTGGGAATTTGAAATAATACGGCAGCTGATGTTCGGAATATGTTTACCATAGGACAACGAGAGGCAGCCTTCCCCGCCAAGTGCCCCAAACTTATGTGCCGCTACCATTGCGTATATCACAGTTCCGAAAACCGTTGCCAAGGCACCGATCAGATACGATAGGATACGTTTGTCATCGTATGAAATGTGAAACCATTGGATTATGCGGGAACACTTTGACGCCTTCATGTTTTCGTCTGAAATAGGTATGGGATGCAACTGTTTCTGGCAATGCTTATCGATCAACAGAAAGCGACTGATCTGCTAGGCAAAAGTAATCAACTGGAGTGCGAAATTTGACTTATACCAAACACAACACGTCACAGGCAATCAATTGTCGAATTGTGTATACATCGGCTCGTCAAACAGTGGCGTTTCCCGTAATCTATATTTATTCTCTTGCTTCTCTTTCCTTTATTCACCGGTAAATGGGTAACGGATTGAGAACCAAACGGTTATCAGTAGGTAGCCCAGAACGATGCTTGCTTATCAACAGCGGTGAAGTTCGGTTAGTGATTTTGATGATCAGCTCAGTAAACGGGACTGTTGGTAAAGAACTTGGGGAGTAATAAATTTATTTGACTAACAGGTTTGTATCTATTGGAAGATAAGATTGAACACTGTTTTGGAACGAATTTCGGTGGGTTGTAAATTATACAATAAATGATATGCGTTGAAATGTCTAAGTCTAATGCCATTCGTAAATAGTTAAACTTTATTAGAACCCAATAGTCAACCCAAGCTCCGGAAATTGTTCATGATTCTAACTGGTACAAGTACTCCAAGCACTAACAGCTCCAATTCTTTGAAATAGGAAACAACACACTTCTGAAAACAACATGCAATCATTCATTCAAAAAAGATAGAACTCGAATACTTGATATTAGCCTCATTATTCAGTTATTTCAGCTTGAATTTATCTCTGTTCAAACACCACCCAAGAAGCAAACAAAAAAACGCACTTTCAATTTGACTGTCCTGAATGCGCTAATGAATCGTTTCTGCAAAAACTCAAAGTGCTCGAGTATGTTGTTAAATGACTAACTGTGTTTGCCGTTTAATCTGTTTCACTTTTTTTTCGCGTAGGTGTGCCAAACCGACAAACGCCGCTCCAAAGAGCAGTGCTGAAGTTGAGAAGGTCAACCCAACTTCTTAAGAAGCCGCCGATTCGTTCTAGCACTGTTCAACCCTGCCCCAATCGACAACTGCCAACCACTCGAAAGGCCGCAGCCCAGCCATCAGCCACAGCGCACATTCCGAAAGCTATTTTTCATGCATTCTTAGAGGGCGCATTCTGTGGTTTCATGTACTTCCCTGTGTATCTACTTTACCTACCGGTGATGGTGGTTCTCGTTTTTCGATCGTTTTCGATTTGTATTATGAACGAGGTGGGTTGTAACTAACGAAACGACCTCACGCCATGGGACATGCGGATTTATTTTATTAGCGTATTTTAATTTATTTGTGACTACAGAAAAAAAAACTACACTCTACCTATATAATAGCACCACACGTCGAGGGCTCCGTGTTCTTGTGGTGGTGCTGGTGAACTTCGACAACGAAATTGCCATAATTGAAGGGAATTAATAAATTGGAAAAGTATTGGCCGCCGCAGGGTGCATTCGGAGCATTGAAGTACGAAGTTCACGACCGGAGCAGTTGTGTGCGGTGAGCTGTTTTTTTTGTTGATGTTGTTGTGAAGGATATGACGGGCGAAGTTAAGCTGTTGCATGCAAGTTCTACCAGTCCAGTGATCGTTGATAGCGCGGTTAAACCTATAATTTGGACGGAAGGTACTGCGATGAAGTGGAACGGATTAAATTGATCCGATCATAGGTCAACCGGTTTAGACACACACACATTGCTATTGTTGAATGAATGAAACGTGTGATTACCTGATAAAGAGACATTGTGGGTAATGACTAATATTTTGTGAGGCTGTGTGTGGATAGTTATGTCGACTGAATGGTTTGCATTCACAAACTCATATGTTAAGTAAAATTAATTTAGCTAAAAGGATAAGGAAATGTTTTGAATTGCTTAAAATTACTGTTTGGCAATATTGGCCTTTTGTTTAGTACTGTGATGCTTCCTCCCGGTTGAGACTATTCAAATCGGTGTACAACTCAATTGAACTGCAAAAAGATTTTCCTGACAGTTGATCCATGTCCATCTTGTTCTATTCTTTTCAATTAGTTTGATTACTGACTGCCAGATCGGGGTTGAATTGAATCAACTCACTTAAACCGTAAATTCGAAAACATGTTCAATGGGAGTCATGATCACATTGGCCGCATACCGACTTGTTTAAGGTGCCTCCAGGGAAGTGACTAGCTTCTGACTCTGACAAAATTATTAATGTGACACCTCAAATAACACGAAAGCCCAAAAACAAACTAACCATAGTCAAATCGAGCACCCATGATCAATCACATTGCAGAGTGGTCCAGAATCAGAATTTAGCAGGAATAGCAGTACTAGAGCATTTTATGTAATATTTGGATGTTTGGAGTTCGCGTGAAGTTTTTGTGCTTGAAAAATTGCGTCTTTTGGTAAGCATTGTAAGCATTGGAATGATTAAAAATCAAGCTTTTTTAATATTAGAAAATAAAGATATTTGATATTAAGCAAAGTTGTAGATAAGTTAATTTGAAGAAACATTGTGAAAAAACATTTTTTCTATCTCCTTAACATTCTAATATTAGAATTTTCAAAATAGAATTAGGGTGTACCCTAGAGTGCATTTGTGCGTTTTTGAGTCGGCGCGCCGTCGTGATGATTTTTAATACGCCGCCGATAAAAAAAATGATAAGCCGGCAATCGAAGTAGGTGTTCTGAACTTTTGAAAGACATGTTTCATGCCAACCACTGCACAGAATTATACAAAAGAGACCAAATTAATTATATTTTTTACTATTTACTAGATTTTATGAAACGGTCAACTGGTTCCAGAGATACGGGCAGAACATGTTCTGGGTAGTATGTACCCAGAGACTATAATAAATCACATAATAATTCAAACACTAGATTAATGGAAGTCATAATGAGTATCCAAAACTACATTTTTTATATCCAGACATGTTATAGTAATTCCATATATTGAACTTGGCGTTCGATGGCTGTTAATTAAACCTACCGTCTTCGGTTTGCTGATAACGTTACATGCCTGATAAAGCTTTTTGATGATTATAATTACTGTAAGAACCACCAGTTCCAATAGTGTTCCAACAAGTTGCAATGAGTTTTTGGCAACAATTTAAAAATTGTGTTATCTGTAACAAGTCGCATATACAGTTATAGAATATTCTGGTTTTAATTGAAGTTTAAAATGTGTCATTTTGACATTCACCATAGTAAAGGATCTCCCACACTGGCGCAATTTATTCGCGGCGGCAGCAAAATTCGCGAAGGTACTCACACCCGAGCGGCAGTTTCGCCGCTGTGTCACCATCGTGTGCAATGGATTAATTTTCGAAAAAAGAGGCGCTTTTATTGCTAAGTTTGCAAGCAGAGGAAACTTCCTGGACTACAACATAATCATTTTAACAACATAACCATTGATCTTGTTGTCTCATGAGATTTGAGTTGTCGGATTTTGGTCACATTCTGGGCCGGCACATGACCAGGTGTAGCCAATGTGATAGATTTTGGCTCATGTCAGCTCTTGGCCACATCCAGAATGGTACCCTCAACACAGGACTTTGCTAACGTTAACTGGGGCCCAGGGCCAAACATAAGTCGAGACCCATCGAGTGCACCAAAGTCGATTTTTACAGTAATTAACCCTGTCCAACAATTCAACAAAGACCAACATGGTCCTCCGAAGGTTTGAAGGAAGGACATTCCTATCATATCCCACTACAATGCCGTTAATTACTCCCAATTCCTTAGAAAAAGCTTGGTAATGAAAAAGCTCCGAAGGCCAATTCTCGCTGTTATTACGGCAATCAGCACGTCATCCCGACTAGTTTTGCTCTAATTTCCTCTAATACAATGGCTGTAGAACCCTCTTCTACTGCACACAGGTAATGTTCAGTACATTCGTCGAAGGGGATTACTAAAAGGTTGCATAATCTCGAAAGAATGCCAGAAATGCTTCACATAAAAGTCGTACAGCCCTTGAACATGCACGCTTGCCTTGTTGAGGTTTTCCTTCCAAGATGTACTCCAACGTTTTGGTGGTCGCTGAATATTGTAAAACGAGTACCAAACAAATATTGGTAGAATTTTTCGACGGCCCAAACCACGGCTAACGCTTCCCGCTGCGTTTGTTGGTACGCTTTCGCCGGTTTTGTTAGCCTTTTTGAAGCGAAACTTAATATTCTCGGTGCCTTTTCACTGTTTCGCTGAATGAGAACTGCTCCTAGACCCACTGGGGAGGCATTCACGTTCAACTCTGTCTCATCCTGGACTTATACGGTAACCTTCTCACGAACGAGTGTGAGGTGATTGAGAGGTGGAAGCAGTACTATGACGAGCATCTCAACGGTGATGCAGCAGAAAACGAAGGTGGCACGACAACAGACCTTGGAGGCGGAAATCGGTCCTTGAGGAGGAGATCGGTTGGCTGAAGAACAACAAAACAACTGGTGTAGATCAACTACCAAGTGAGCTATTAAAATACGGTGGTGAAGCACTGGCTAGAGCACTGCACTGGGTAATTGCCAAGATTTGGGAGGATGAGGTATTACCGGAGGAGTGGATGGAAGGTGTTGTATGCCCAATCTACAAAAAGGGCGACAAGTTGGATTGCTGCAGCTACCGCGCGATCACACTGCTGAGCGCCGCCTACAAGGTACTCTCCCAAATTGTATGCCACCGCCTGTCACCATTTGCAAGAGAGTTCGTGGGGCAATACCAAATGGGATTCATGGGTGCCCGCGCTACCACGGAACAAATTTTCGCGATTCGGCAGGTTCTGCAGAAATGCCCCGAATACAACGTGCCCACATATCATTTGTTCATCGATTTCAAATCCACATACGACACAATCGATCGACGTGAGCTATGGCAAATTATGCACGAGTACGGATTTCCGGATAAACTGACGCGATTGGTCAAGGCGACGATAGATCGAGTGATGTGCACAACCTGATATCACCCTTCCCCTTTGGCACCACAATCAAGGGAGATATGTACTCCGGGGCTTCCATAACTGGTTCTATCACATCGCTGTTCAACATCTGTAAGATTTTTAATCCACCTTCCTTTCCATTGCCACAGAGATCCGCAAGTATGCAATTTTCTTTTTCGGTATACGGCTATCGACTTTAATATTCGG